ACAGCTCTCACTGACAGCACTGAGAGATCACAGCAGAGTGAGCACTGACTGGAGGAGAGACGCAGCTCTCACTGACCACTTAGGAGACACTGGTTAATTCATTCGTACCCCTGTTCTGCAGACAGCACCTAACTCAAGGGCATGTACCCATCCTGATAATTACCTAACACCTGGTCAAAATCGGCTAATGGCACAGCCCAAGGGAGCAACAACTATAAGAACTATAGGATATTACTGGCTGAGCCACGCTGTGGAGACCCGTAGTAAATTCCAACTGTATTTCTAAGTGTTTAACTGAGAACGGGGTTCCACTTCTGGGTGCTCACCGAATTTCTCTTGCTTTATTTCACCTTATCTCACCTCGTGTGCTCTCGCTGCGTTTAAGTGGGCTGCGAAGGGTGGGAAACGCGAAGCACGTCGTGTTATAGGGGTTCGCCAGTGCACCTCGCCTGCGCGCTGCTCTACAATCGCACGGGACAGCGGGGCAGCCCGTGAGCGTGCAAAGCGCGGCGTGACGTCAGAAGAGGCTCGAGAGCGTGAAAACGGCGTGGAAGCCAGTTGGACCGCGTTGGTCCGGCCAGAGCCCAGTGGACCTGTCAGCTCTTCACTCCGCTCAGGGAGTGAATTCCCTGCGTTGGAAATGTGCTGGAAACCAGATGAGAGAGATTTGTCCTGCTGCACAGAGTTTAACATTCCTCGTCACGGCAGCAGGAAAAAAAACGTGCTGGTGGAATAAACGAGCCGAGGGGGGCTGCGAAGGTGTGGTTTCGAGATACAGAAGATGTCTTTTAAATCAAAACAACAACAACAACAACAACAACAACAACAACACAAAAAAACACTACAGTAATAAAGTCGAAATGTCAATCTGGAGAATGCTAAATATTAAGAGACGTGTTGTAGCCAGTGGCCATAGCAATCCTGAAAAGCGCAGGGGTTCTCTCTGGTAAATCCACAGAGAAGAGAGACGTTCTCACTCACGGCAGCCGAGCTCAGTTTAATTCAATACAAGTCCTGACTGACTGATTACAGTATTATAGTCCCGGCTGACGCGCCGCGGTTAAAGCAGAAGGACGATACGGATATTAATCGTACCCGCAAAACACAAACTGGCACACTGTACTGAAAACAGCACAACCGGGTAGTCAGACGAAGGCAGGGAACGTTTTGCATTAAAGGAGCGAATGACTGGTAGACTCTACACGCAAAACACAAAACACAATTTTAACACGTAAGTGTTTGTCGATAAAAATATAATTCAAAGGTACAGGACGGTTCGGTTTATTTGACAGTTATGGCGCCACTGTGACTGCGAAAGGGTATGGAGACCTGAGTTTTATCGCTGCGTTTAGCTTTTCGCAGGCCGCAGAGCAACAAGATAACTCGAAGAATCCCCCATCCGCACACAAGTCTTCTGACACCTTCAAGGGGATCGCAAATGCCGGAAATCCAGAACATTAACACTCACTCCCAGCGCGGCTTCAGACGACTGAGAAAGACAAAAAAAAATGTTTTGTTTTGTTTTGTTTTTTTTTTAAATGGGCCAGACTTCAAGGGAGGAGCGGGAGAGAAGTTGAAAATGACTTTGGCGAAATGCCACACAATTTTCCACAGTTTTTGCTTATAATAGCTCGGTCGGTCATAGGTTCGCCGCGGCCTAAACACCACCCCCAACTACTAACTCTCCTGCCCCGCCACAGCCACCCCGCGACGCGGAGCCCGCGCTCGAGTTGACCCGGCGGTGCGGGACTTCAGCCGACCGGCGGTGCGGGACGGCACGGAAAGAGTCGTCTATTTTTGTGCGCCCGGGGGCCAGCAGAGCTTTGCCAGGAATGACGAGCCTGAAAAACAGATTATCGCCAATGGGATCTTTTTGCAAACGCTTATGTCTTTATTTCACACCTTTTCTGACAGCCGTCTCACCGCTAGGTGAACTTGAGTCACCTTCGGGGACGGCTCTCCCGTGAGGTCAGGGAGAATTTTAAATCCCCCTACCTTAACAAGCCCGCCCAGGGACAGTTAATATACCCCTGACAACCTGTGCGCTGGAAGAGTGGCTTCGGCGATAACAGGTAAAGAAGTAAACCGCTTATTAAACCACAATATACACAGTCCGGCTTAACTCGTCACATACTAATTAACACTTATTTCTGGAACCGCCACCAGCTTACTTTAAGAATGGCACTGAAAGAGAAAACATACCACGGGCTCTAATCTAGCCCAAACCAGGCCCAGAGTCGCCCCCGGCCGCTGTCCTCTGTACTGGCTGTGGGCTGTGTCTCTGAACCACTATTTACAGCGGAACAGGGTTCAGACCGAGCAGCGAACCACTGCACTGTGTCAAACTCGGAAAGTGCGCTGTAGGCCTATTCTAACGCCTCAGATTCTGTTATAAAATCAACACGCTCTTATATCTGCGGTAATTAATTAGTCTGGCTCGGAGCCGAATGTTAGTTCTAGACCAGACGTGCGCGACGCCAAACTGAGCCCCGTTTATTTTTCAAAGAAAGGAGAAGTCGGAGACCCGGAGTGTCTTTCTTCCCAGCGGATCGCGATCGCCGTATGGTCTTGTCTTCTCTCGCGCTCGCTTACCTCGTTCTTTGCTCGGATTGGATAGTACTGCTAAAACAAATCTCGTTTTCTTTAAAGAAAGTACTACCATTACTACTATTACCAATATCGAAAAAATGATTTTATATTCTTAATGTGACTCGTGTATATAATTTAGGAAGCTTGGCACCACCACCATTATTATTATAAATAATAATAATAATAATAATAATAATAATAATAATAATAATAATTCAGGTGGGTAGCTGCGTCAGCATGCGTAGTCTGCAAAGGAACAAGTAATAGGTTTAGTCCATGCTGAAAAGAGAAGAAAGAAACAACGTTTCGGCCGTGGAGAATTCTTCAGGTGTATAATAATAATAATAATAATAATAATAATAATAATAATAATAATAATAATAATAATAATAATAACCACTATATATTATGGAGGTAGCAGATTACTTTCATAAATGCTTATCTGATTCAGGGTCATGATGGCCCTGAGACTATCCCGGGATATAGTATGTAGTACTTAATATATACATTATTTTTACCTTATAATTCTAACTTTTGTCTCATACTGTTACGATAATAATAATTACAGTTACTGAAAAGAGTGGTGGCGCTGGGCTATAGGCAGGTGATTCTTTTCAACAACAGCCCGTTAAGTAGAAGAATCCAGAGGGGAGACGTTTCGCGCCACAGGTTATAATAAAAACTATAAACGAAATGCCGCAATAAAAGGCTTTCATTGCAGAAAAATTGCTAAACCGTAAAATTTACAGGGTGAAAAAAACCGGATAAAATGACAGTACCTACCAACGAGCCAGGGATATTCATAAAAGAGCGGAAATCGACTGTTCTCGTGTCAAGAGCCGGGTCTGAAAGAAATTTCCACAAATACAGTCTGTTCGCAGGTCGGGAGCCTTGAAAAACCAAATTAAAACCAGATCGCCGAGCATGGAAACAGAGTTCACCGAGACTGCCGGCCGAGCGTGTTCAACATCGGCTAAAAACAAAGAAACGGCAACACGAAGTATATATTTTCGCTATTTTTATGATTTAAGACACGCTGCTGCTGCTTTTACAAGAGCTGAAATAATGAACAATCCACATAAAAGTATTATCTTTCTGCATTTATAGTCCTTCTATAGCCTGTTGCGAAAACGGCGATATTCTACCGTATTTTGATAGGGGCGACACAAAACTTCAAACCTTAAAAGCTTTTCTTGGGGTGGTTTTATACCATCTCTCGCTTGTAATTAGTACTTAGCTACATATAAATAGCAATTAGATAGTTTCGTACCAATAATAAATAGATGAGCGCTAATTCTAGACTTTTAAACTGGTCCTTAATGTCTTAATAGAATCAATGAAGTGAAAAGGGCTTCCATTCACTGGATTCCGGGTGTTAATCAGGCGCTGATTGAAAAGAGCCCCTGCCACCCTCAGGGAATCTGGCATAGGAGGCCTTGTTTTATCAGTTTTTGTTAAAAATAAAGATTTTGTTTTCATTCTATTTGACGGGCCTGATCGTAGGCCCCATTTTACAGTGACGCTTCCTGCAATCAGAGTACGCGCGTCTCCACACACTCTCTGTTCTTTTGCAGGGTACTTCAGCAACACCTTCGAAAACCAACTCAACGGGCGATTCCTTAACGAAAACACAAGCGAAACTTTCAGTTGTCTTTGCGATCGTCGTTGTCGTAAAGCCCCGGGTTTCCTGTCCCGGGAACTCAAGAGCGTCCTTCGACATTTTTTCCTATTCCGTTATTATCTTTAAAAACGTGAAATAACAACTTAATAAAAACCAGCCAAGACGTAAGTTTGCATTTCCCCATGTTTGCGTTTCTCTCGTTATTCGACACAAAATCGTCGCTTTTCAATTCATTTTGCGCGGTGAGCCTGGTCCGACAGCAGTCGCAGGCCGTGTGTTAATCACATGGAGACGCCGAGGTTGGTGCTTTCGAGTAGATAACGAGTCTGGAACAGAGGAACGAGCAAACGACCTTTCGACACCACTGGATCTGGAACCTTGGTCTCGCATTAGAAGCGCGGAATCGCGGCTTTACAGAAACCGCGAGTTTCTGGAGTTTCTAACGGCTCCCTCCAGATAAACAGTGAACAGATTTCAGAAAACATCGGTCCTCCTGTTCCTACTGAGAATCACTTCGTTCATACAGCAGATTATAACACAAAGCTTTAAAGCATCAACAACTATCCAAACAAGAACAACAACAACAACAACAACAACAATAAAATAACATTTACATGTTAAATAAATAAAATAACAATATGGCTTACGGTTGTCACGATTTCATGATTTTAAAACTGTATTTTCCCACGAATAATTAGTGGGGTCATTTGTTTAAGATAATTGATATACCATACGTAGCCAAAAATATAATAATATTTGGAAATATCATGACTGTTTTCTGCTCATATACGGGAGAGAGAGAGCTCTGTCCGTCGCCTGCTTTCTGATGTTTGTTACTTGGTGCGAGAAAACCTTTTTGGTTGTGGTAAAAAAAACACACACACACACACAGACTGAAAAGGCATCAAAGCGACATTTCACACCGAGCCGTTTTCTGATTTCCTTACCCGAGCCAACCGCGAGCGCTAGCCAAGAAATGTCCGCTTTAAATTGGTCTTGTCTGGGCTCGCAGCGCGCCAGGAGTTAGCTCATTCAGGATTTATGGCGCATGGGAAGAAAGAGCAGCGCCTATTAGAAAGGAAGATATCTTAACGGTTTTTTTTTTTTACACGGCCCATAGCGGAATGATTACAATAACCCATACACAGTCCATAAAGGGGAATGACTAACGCCCGGTGGAATGACATCTTTATAAACTCGAAGGGAATTGTGGGACTTTGGAAGCACGGTGTAACAGCTCCGTCAGTTTCGCGCTGAACCCAGACTCCAAATTGGTGAGAGAGGCGCTAGAACCGCATCACCTTAGTGCGCTCACTTATTACAGTAGGACTGACTGAAATCAGAGAATGTTTTTATTATCCGTGTTAGCCCTGTGCTCTGAAATGAAGATAACGCATTAAACGATGCTGATCTGTTCCTAGGAAAGGATACAGAAAACGTCTTGGTTTTTTTTTAGTTCGAATAAGTGTTTTACTGGTTTACGGGTTTTACTGGTCTGCTTCTGGCGTGAAAGAATATTTCTTTTCACGTTCCTGAACATGCGTTTTTCAGCTTCAATAGTACAATAGTATAATAAAAAAAGAAAACCCTGTACTACATAAATCGCTACAGAAAGTGAATAATAATAATAATAATAATAATAATAATAATAATAATAATAATAATAATAATAATAATAATAATAATAAGCGATTTTAAGACCGTTTTGTAGTTGTTGTTGACCTCTCTCAACAGCATCTCAAAAAGAATTGATTTAAGATACAGTCTGAAACAGTCAAGTAGAACCCCGCGACAAATTCAACAGACCTGTTATTAAATGGAATTTCTCTTTCCCGTTTAGTCAATTTTAATTACATTCCAATAATTTCTGTTACGAAGCGAACCTTTTCTGGAATCTATTAAAATATATTGAATCCAGCAGCGTGTTGCCCAATGTCCACATTGTACACAGAATGTTAAATCGGTTACAGCTGTTATTATTATTATTATTATTACTATTATTATTATTATTATTATTATTATTATTATTATTATTGGTAGAAGTGTTCTTGTCTTTTTGTTGTTATTATTGCTGCTGCTATTGCTAATATTTTTGCTGTTTACGTATTGTTCTGCAGTTTTTCAGACCTCCCATCTGCAATCACGATGTGCAAAGAATTCTCATTTACGACCTCCGTCCTGTAAGATGGTTGAAGTGTTCTCTCACAAGCGTATGCGTAACCGATATCGGTGGTTTTGTCGGGTTGAGACAAAACACACGGTCCCGGAGAACGTCTCGATATCGCAGTTGCATTTCTTCCACATCTCGGGTGAACAATGAAACGCAGAGAGCAGTTTAATGCTTTAAGCGTGTTTACCGGTGAAACGAAATGTTTTAAAAAGTACATGACTTTCAGAACCGTCAAACGTTTTTATTCTGCCGAAAGTCCGGTACCTCTGGGGTTCAGAACGTTACCTGAAAACATTCCAGACATCGCAAGTCGATTTTTCAAATGTCCCTGCTGTATATGCCTACTATTGTAAAATTTTGATATTGGAAGTTTTCTGTCGCTTTTAAATGTGAACCCCCTATTTCAACTCAAAACAATCCCAAAACGTAAGGCCACACATTAATAAAATGTAATAATATGAACGAATGTCAGACATCGACGTGGAAGCATCTCATCTTAATCTAATTGCGTTTGATGGTTAAACTCGACAGTGCGATTGATATTTAAAGGTTCGAGATTAAGCGAACATTGAAAACCCGTTAATTCGGGTGCAATGGAAATTGTAACCGCGGCCGTCACAATAACGGCTGCTATTTATACCAATAGGCTTCATGATTTCACCTAGGGAATCAATGAACGTCAGGCTCCATTGTAAATAGAAACAATTTTCTTTTTTTTACGCTGTAACGCAAACCACTGACGAAATCAGCAAAATCTTGCTGTCTGAAAATTCTTAATAATGAAAACCTGAAGGCCGACAATCTGCAATTTATAACAATAAAAATAATTATATTAACAACAACAACAACAACAACAACAATAATAATAATAATAATAATAATAATAATAATAATAATAATAATAATAATAATGATAATAATAATAATAATATTATAACAGGGCAATCTAGAGGTTACTGTATGTACTGCAAATGTATAGCTCCACTGATCATAATCTATGTGTGTGTTGAAGAAGCAGTTAGACTTTCAAAGTGGAGCAGGATTTGGGACTTAAAAGATATGTGTGCTTTAGAAGGCTAGAACTGCGTTCGTTGGCAGAAACCGTGCTAAATGCAGAACCCGAGAGGGATCGTACTTTATAGCCCCCCCAAAAAACGCGCCCCCGAAATCTAGTCCTCAAAACGACCTTGTCTTGTTTGATGGCGCCGTTTTCACTTGTTGAATTTAGTCGTTTTTGTGTTGTTTGCAAAACTGAAGGAAAATGCTTTAAGAAAGTATACCCAAGCTCTATGCAGGGTATGGCACTTCTACGAAAAGGTACCTGTGAATTTAATAATAATAATTTATACGATAAATAAATTCACGAATACAAAGTTCAGTAATTTCTTAAGGGAATCACGTTACCGTTAAAAGAAAAAAAGGAGTATCTTTTTAACATCAATAAAACTTTAAAATATAATCGCTTTGATAACTCAGATCTGCTTTTTTGCAAGAAATAATCCTAGCAGCCTATTGAAGAGGAGACTAAAGCTTTGTTAAAACTTTGTTTAGCAATCGAATTGAACCTTCCCTGGTTTATTGCCACCAATATTAATGTAAAGGCAAATCAGACCATTAAATACACGTTTTTTTCACCGTGTGTTAAGGAGATGTTAAGGAGAGGGGGGCGGAAACTTTAATAATTGTTTATGTGACACGAGCATGATTGAGGAATACAGAAAGGAATGATTTTTCAGATGATTGAGTAAAAATGTGCTGAACAGTATGACGGCACACTGCGGAATCGGCGTCTAAACCTGTTTTAAAACAGGGCAGTTTCAAAACGTGCTCCTGTCGCACTGCAATTTCTGCAGCGGCCCTGTCTCTAACAGTGCGGAGCTGATCATACTGTATCAGTCTTTCAAAACTGTTTGAAAAGGCCCGAGTCTTTCTGTCAATTGAATTTAAACCACAGTTTGCGTGTCACTTCTCACTTTTATCTTAAGACATACAGTGCGGTCACATCGCTGGGAATATGTTCAACATGCGTTTACTATGGAATAGCACAATTTATGACCGAATCAACAGATACTAACATAATCTATTCTACCACAATCTCTCCAGAAACTTCTCAAATTTAACTTGCAAAATCGTACGCATTGTATTGTGATGTCTAAGACGTATCGTAGCTCCATATGTACTTGAATCATTGTAACTTTTAGTAGCAGTCTAAGGGTGGTATTCGGATAATTGTCCCAGAAAACACAGCTAGAGTACAAATGTACTAAAAGTTTCTTTGTCAACCAAGTAAACGGGACAGGGCAGAAGAGGGGTTGGGGCTGAACTTTGGCACCAGCTGCTAACTAATCAACTTGTCAATACCTTGATTCTGCGATTCTAAATTTAAAACGGCTTGTCTCGGCTTGTGCGGTACACAGGACAAAACACCCCATTTGGTAGTAAAGGCGCGTGCGGGTGCGACAAAGCGGGGATGTACAGGAAGGCAGTGGGAAGGAATATTTGCACTCACCATATCGAGGGGAACTCGTCCTTCTGAAAGCCCCATGTCTCGGCCGCCGTGTCTCCCCGCCCTGAAAAGCCCCGGTGAGGTGATCTCTGCACGCCAGCCGCGAGACCTCCCCCGCTCGCTGCCCGCGAGTGTCGGAGAGGGGCCCTCCGCCTCGTGACGTCAGGAAGCCCCCGCTGCTGGCGTCCACATCTGCTCTCCGAGCCGCAGTCCCGTCTGGGAATGCCTGTGGATAAGTGGACTTGTCAAAACAGCCGCGTCAGGGTCCCGTTTGTGGGCTTTTTTTTTTCGCATCTCGTTGAACTACGGGAGTTTGAACAATCACATACGCCCCTTCTTTCAGATATGTGGATACCAAATTAGTGTATTTGAGACAAACTGCTCGGACAGCTAAATGGCAAGGCTACCGGATTGGTATAGATAATCCTAAAAACGGATTCTGTTGTGATTACGTCTAAACATACAGTTTTACCAATTCAGGGTCACGCAGAATACGACGGTATTACCCAGCCCAGGTTCACAACACGTGGAAAGCACTTCCAAATACCATCAAATACTACCCTATTAAAAATAGAAATGTTTGTTTTTCTTCACTGAGGACATTTAAAGATAATGTTTGTATGAATTCCCAGTGTCTGAATGGAAAGAAAAAAAATATCACTACGTAAAGTAAGTCCCGGGTACAGTTTCCAAATTAAGATAAATCCCAAACGTTTTTTGTTTAAATACAACGTTTACTCGAATCGGGATATATATAAGCATATGCAAAACAGATTCTCAGAAGCCAGTTTCCGTAGGAGCATTTAGACGAGCTATACTATTTCCGGAGCCTGAAACGTTTAAATACCATAGAAGGAGGATGGAGCAGTTAAGATACACTGATTCTAGCAGCTAACTTCTAGTTACAAGTATTCATACAACCCCCGGGTTGTAGAATGTAAACCGACAAGAGTAACTATGATAGCCGAACAGTGTGTTGGACCTCTTTTGGGATACCGTGATTGGTTTTGGATGAGATTGCAGCAATACGGACGGTACAAAGGAGAGAGCCCATTTCAGTCCAATACAGTCATCTGTACACATTTAAACGGTGGGGCATGCTTGGACAATCCAAAGGAACACGATATTTGTGTCCTACAACGGAAAGAGGAAGGTGGGACCCAACTCTGTTATTCCAGAGCTGAGGCGCACTGACGGGGGTCATCTCAGGCAACTTCCACCTCCCGCCGCAGCAGACAATACGAAGAAAGCAAGCGGTCCACAGGTTAGGAGTTCGACCCTCCTGTCTGAACCTGGAATCACATGTCTAGCCAACGCCGCGGCATGCTTGAAGAAACAGATCGGTGGTTTAATTTAGACCATGAAGCTCGTAGCCACCAAACGATCCAGTGAGATCGAATGGCCTGCTTGAGTGACTTTCTTTTCAGTTCTTTTTAGACCGACCCACCCAAAGCTGTCAAAGAAGAAGGGGGTTGACACCTCTCACGAGGGGGGGGGTTGTTATCTGGCTTTTAGCGGAGAAGACGGGAGATCCCCGCGTTGAGGCGCTCGCGATCTAACGCCGGGCCAGGGGGGGCGTGTTGCGCGCGGATTTGACACAGCGGGCCGGAGGAAGGAAGTGACCGAGGAGGAGCGGGGCTCGCGAGTGCCGAGGGGGCGGGGCTGACCTTGTGAGAGAGAGACAGATGCGGAGAGAGAAGGGGGTGAATAAAAGGGGAATATTCCAGGGAAGGTCGTAAAGCTGATTGATGACTTCCCCGAAGAAGTATTTCCCAGGTGTGAGGGACTAGAAAGGGCCTCCATAATGCTGAACTTTTCCTGACTGTTCCCCGCGCTAACGTGCGGGTGCGTTAAACCCTCTGTTGAAAGCGCTAGCGACGTCTCTCTCTTTCCTCCTCTTCCACTGGGTGGGCTACCAACCCTCGGTGTGGAACAGAAAAAAAACCCCGGTAAAAAATCATAAGCGGCACTTGAAAGGAAGACAGCAAAGCTAGGCGCAATTCACAACAAACACAAACACCGGTCCCTAGCCCACTCCGTCAAACGCGTGCTGGCTCAGCTCGTGAAGACGGACCCGTTGCAGAACAGAAGAACTGGATTATCTTGTTGACAGGGGTCGAGACAGAAAACAGCAGAAAGAAATAAGCGGGCGGGTGGCTTGGGGGGGGGAGGGTGTGTGTGTGTCTGACGCACAGTGGCACAGGTGCAGAAAGCACCAGGATTTAGCAAACTCTTCCGGTGCGGAGAATGAGCACTTGTCAAGAGCAAGTCTGCGTGCACGGCCAGGGGAAAATAACTCAAGTTGTCCAACAGCAGCCTGAGATGATAAATCTCACCCCGACACCCTTTCTTTGCAATACCAGCTTTTTCCAGACGTTTGCAGTTACATCCAAGTGTTTGTATACCTCAATACTTCAAGTGCTTCGCTTGATCTGCTTTACATTTCAAGCTTCCATAGAACTACAGGAAGACTTTACAATTAAGGGGTTAGATGTACTGTATTATATATACACACACACTACATTTTCCATTCTGCTAGGGGCAGAAGGATTTTCATGATGAAAAATGTGTTTCAGTTCCCTTAGCCTTATCAATAAGTAGTGGAATTAAGTGGGGACTGCTCTCTCCTGTGTTCTTGTGCAACTGTTCAGGTACAGTATACAAGAGAGTATACCTGGACAAGGCTGGTGTGCTCAACTGTAGTGATTAATGTCGGACTAGATTTTTGGGCTTGAAGGCAGTGGGAGGTTACATAGACAAAGGCCCCTGCTAGATGGGTGCAGCACTCAAACTGCATCTTTGAGATCTGGTGAGATAGCTCTCCTGTTATTTTAGGACATATGCAAAGGTTTGAATGATTGCCAGTCACAGTTTTCCATATTCTGCATACATTTTCCTTCCATTTGCCCCTGTGTCAACTTTTGTTCTTGCAGAGGTTTGCATCACTTTGGGAGGAGGGCTCCATAAGGATTAGCACATGTAAACCACCAGCCTACGACCCCCAGTTACAAGTGCAAACAAGCAGGGAATCAGAAATCGTATTATTCATATAAAGTATGGAAACACACCCCTAGTAAACCCATGGTTTAAGCAGGTGCTAGTCATACATCAATAGGCAGCTGGAGGACATTCTGAATCATTAAAGCCTTTAACACCAATGAGTAATGGGATGGGAAGGAGGATTGAACTCTTTGAATAAGGTCAAGCCAGCCGTGGAAAGAGTTTCATCACTATGAGATCCACTAAGCAGAGAGCCCTACTGTTTGGATAAGTGGAAGATAAGAGGCCTGAGGAGCTGGGCACTAGAACAGAGCATCTTCAACAAGAGCAGGTTGTTGGAACAAGAAACCCATTTGAATTCTGCACTAGGCTGGCAGGGGCTGACCTGTATAATGGCCCTTAAAGTGCTGAAGGAGTCTCCCTGCACCTGCTATGGTGTACAGTATGGTTACAATGCTCATTGAATGTGGAATACATAACACACTGTAGTACTTCCCCTGCAGGAGAAGAGCCCGCTCAGACTCAGTTATGCCACATAGGAGGTCAAAAAGCAAAAGAAAGCATGTGTTGGTTTTTTTTAATTCAGACAAAACCAGAAAAACAGACCAAGCATTCAGATTCTGTTCTATTACTCTGCAGCTGCACCACCTGACAGCGTTATTGTTAATACCCGAGATCTGGTTCTCCGCACAGCTACAGTAATGAGAGCAGAGATGACAAGCACAACAGCAACAGCCACTGCCAGTAATCCATAGCTGACATACTGGGACCCTGGGATGAGAGAGAAGAGATCAGTACACATCACTGTGCTCAATGAACATCTACTGGAGATATCCAGACCCTCAAGCACTTTTCACCTTCAAACTGGGATTCCATTTTATCCACAGCTGGAAGTTCAAGGTCAATCAAGATCACTTCCCCACTGGAGACCAGAACAGTTTCTTTGGAGGTATCCATTGGGATTGTAGCAACAGCTCTTCCTGGAAGATGGAAATTACATCATGAAACAAAACACACTGCTTCTTACAAAGAAGCAAGCCTTTGTAGAAATTGGCAACTCACGCCTCCTGCCACACATGGGCACACAGCGGTCAGTAGCAGTCGGCTGGCACACTGCCGCACTACAGTGGATGAACACCTAGAGAGCAGAGCAGAGCAGAGCAAGGGTCACTGCACAGCCCAGGACCAGCCACCACCTCCTTCCCCACAAGCTGCTCCCTACCTTCTCCATCAGAGGAACCTGAGAGGCAGGATCCACAAAAGTGAACATCCGAAGCATGAAGCGCTGGTAGTGCGTTGGGTACGGCAGCCCTGAGGAGCCACCCACAGGGATCAAGGTGGTCTGGTAGTTGTCACCTCCGTAGGGACACCTGCAAGGACAGCAACAGGGAGGGTGAGCCCTGCCACAAGGGGACACTACCAAGACACGCCAGTCTGAGCCACAGGGGGTCAGGTTACCCAGCAACCAGAAGGCTCCAGCGGGACTGGCTGAGAGGACTGGGAGTGGAAGTGGCCCAGCAGTCCCCCAGGGTCAGGACAATGTTGGGGTCAGTCCTGTTCAAGATGTGGACCTCCACATACACAGGATCCCGCAGCACCTTGGTCACAGGGTAGTCCAGGTCACTGTAGTAGGAGTCATA